CGAGAGAGGGAACACAAGCAGGGGGAGTGGGAGAGGGAGAAAGAGGCTTCCGGTGGAGCAGGGAGCCCAATGCGGGGCTCAATCCAGGACCCCGGGATCCTGACCTGAGCTGAAGGCAGACACTTAACGACTGAGCCACCCAGGCGCCCCGTAGCTATACCATTCTGCATTCCTATTAGCAGTATATGAGTGATCCAGTTTCTTCACATCTTCACCAATATTTGGTGTTATTATTTTATGTTGCTTTAGCCATTCTGACAGGGGTGTAATAATATCTCATTGTGACCTTAATTTGTATTTTTCTAATGGCTAGATGTGTCTATTTGCTATCTGGTGGAATCCAGTTGAGTCTTTTGCCCATTTTCTCATTGGGTTGCTTCTTTGTTTTGAAATTTCTTTATTCTAGATACAAGAACTCTTGTCAGGTGTGCAGTTTGCAGACACTTTCCCACTCCACAGCTTGTCCTTGTGTCCTCCCCACAGGATCTTCTGCAGACCGAAAAGCTTTTAATTTTGAAGACCAACTTATCAGTGTTTTCTTTTATGGGTATTTTTAGTGTTGGGTCTAAAACTGTTCACCAAGCCCTAGCTCCTGAAAATCTTTTTCTGTTTTTTTTTTGGTAGCATTTTTATAAATTTATGTTTTACATTTTAGTCCTTGATCTATTTTGAGTATATTTTTATAGAAGATGTGAGATTTAGTTTGTTATTTTGTCTGTAAATGTCCAATTGATCCAGCACCTTTTATTGAAAAGCTACTCTTCCTTCATTGAATTACATTTGTACCTTTGTCAAGACTTAGTTTTTTGTGTGTTGGGGAGCAGATTTGTGGCGGTTGATAGACTTTTTTTTTTTTTTAACATAATCACCATGTCAGTATACTTAACAAATGAAAAGAGATTTCATGATAGCTTTAGTATCCAGTTCATATTCAGTTTTTTTCCAGTTGTTTCAAAAATGTTTGTTTTTAATAGTTGCCTTGCTTGAATCAAGATCAGAATAAGATCCACACACTGCACTTGGTTTTCACATCTCCTAAGTGTACAGCAGTCCCTCTGCTATTTACTGATGAGCATGCCCCTTCCTTGACCCCCCTCCTGGGCCTGCAGCCCCTAGTCTAGCCTCTGGCGAGGACACTCAGCAAGCCCCCTTCCTTTGTTTCTGACCAAGGGCCAGTTAAATGGTGACCAGTGAAAACTGAGAAACCAGTAAGAAAATGGCCTAGCCTTCTGGGGAAACAAGCGTAAAAGGACCTGACGTCCTTGAGCTTTGTTTTTCTAGAATCCTGAAGTTGCTCTAAGAGGCCATGTGGTTCAGTAGAACAAAGCTTGCTGACATGTGTATTTATGGCCCCACAATTGACCAGCTGTGAAATCTTGAGCAAATCACTAAACTACCAAACCAGTTTCCATAAAACAGGATAATTATGATACCTTGTGAGGAGGATTTAATGAGAAATGTCTGTAACCGTGGCTTATAAGTGACAATATTATTCCATTGCCAGACTATTTCCTGTTGCTTTAAAAATTACATATAAAAACTAATACTGAGAACTTAACTCTTGCCCATCACTGTTTTACAGGTATTGACTCATTTACTCCTCACAATGATCTCATAGTAGATTTTCTTACTGCTTCCATTTCCAGCTGAGGATGGGGAGGCGCAGGGAGGCTGGTAGCTTCCCACAGTCCCTGCCGCTGCCGAGTCCCAGAGCTATAGTCTGCACCTAGCATCCTGCTGCCGAGCTCATGCTTTTTACCTTTGGCTATTGCTTCACGGCCGTACATGCTTGTATCTCAAATGCACTGGTCACGGCCGTACATGCTTGTATCTCAAATGCACTGAGTGCTTCTGTGTGCAAAGTGATTCCCACTATACACCCATGCTGCCGTGGCCTGCAGGTGGGAGGAGAAGGAGCTAGAAATGGAACCAGTGACACAGAGAGGGGGATGGGGAGGCAAGATGGGGAGGCAGGCTAAGGCTGCCAGTCACAGCTCTGTCCATTCCTAGATGAAGGGACAAAAATATTTGTGAAGGATTTTGGTCAGTTTATGAATAATGGATCTGTAGCAGATTATAAAGGAGGCTATTGGTTTTCTGGTACGAGGAGAGTGAGGATCTTGTCAGGGGAAACGCCTGTGGCCCCTTTCCCTGCCCTGTGGGGGCCCTGGCAGAGACAGGCTGGAAGAACTTTTAGTCTGACCTAAGGTGGTATCTCTACTGGATTAAATGGTGTGTTCCAATGAGTTGGGCTGTAGAGCCCCCCAAAGTCCCCAAAATCTAGTGGTTTAAGACAGAAATGTACACCTTCTATGAAAGTCTGAGTGAGTAGGCGCTCCAGGCTGGCTTGGTGGCCCGATGGTGTCAAGTGTCCTTCTATTTCATGGCTCCTCCATCACCTCAGGTGCTGCTCGCATCCATGTGATGGAAGGTGGCTGCCACCCTATCCACTGGCTCCGCGTTCCAGCCTGGGGGAAGGAGGAGAGAGGAGGCGTCTGTACAGGAGAGCTCAAGCCCCAGAAGCTGCCCCCTCGTAGTCAATGGCCCCACCAAACTGCAAGGGAAGTGAGGAAATGTGGGCTTTAGCTGAGTGTCTAGGTAAAATTTGGGAGCCCTGTTGCCATGGAAAGAACAAAAGAATGGATCTGGAGGACAGCCGGCCATCTGCCACAAATGAGGTTGAGGGCGTGTGCCCAGGAATGCCTTGGTGGGACAGGCAGCAAACCCCTCCTGAACACAGGAGCCACCAGACTTGGCACCCTTGGCTCCGCCAGCTGGGCCCAGAGGCCAACAGCTGGGTGCTCCTCTAGGCTGGGGCCCTCAGTGTAAGTCCAACCCAGCTTTTGCCTCTCATGTGTGACCTTGTTAGCTGCCCCTTCCTTCAGAGTTGTTCCTTTGGCTTCTATGACATGGCTCTCCTTTCCTTGTTATCCTACCTCTTGGCTTCCCTTTTCTTTGCTGGCTCTTCCCCTGACCCACCCAGCTGTGGATGGTCCCAAACACTCTTCTGCTTATACAAGGAGATGGCTCATCTGCTCCTCCACCTCCATCTGGTACCTCCCCGGGAGTCCTCAGCATCCATTTCTGTCTGTAGCTCGCTCGCCACTGAGCTGTCTGGCTATACTCTGAATGCAACACAGTCTGATTGGCTTTGATTCCATGTCCGATGCCCAGCTTTCCCACTTCAGAAGGAAGTTAGAGACAGGCCAGTAGCTGCTGGCCCTT